GCACTGCTGAAGGAAATCCATTTGTAAAAATAAAAGAGCAGAACAGGTTTCTAGGGAACCTTTCTCTCTTTTCCAGCAGCATTGTATAAACCATATTACTGAACACAAAAAGGAGTTTCAGAAACTGATCGGTTTACTTACTTCTTTCTGAAAGAAGACTTTGGTGCAGGTGAAGGTTCCTGGACTGAAGACTCTGTATGGCCAAGTCTCCTGTTCATCTGCCCAGAGCAGAGGCTGGAGGGCAGGTTTTTGGAAGGGTGGGCAGCCCACTTGCAGTGTGCTAGCTGTTCAGACAGTAGCAGTATGTTCTTTTTCTCCACCTGGAGGCCTGATCCAGAGACCCATGTAATTGCTGGGAGCTTCTCCATTAACCTCAGTTAGCTTTGGGTCATCTCTTGCCTTCTCTCTGCCTGCTTCATTGTTTTCTTATTTGCTTGCATCTGTAGAGTTTCCAAGGCTCATCTGTGTAAATCAATAGTTACTGCAAAGACTTAAATGCTCCCCTTGGAAAGAACAAGATTCCTGTACAAATTTCCCTCAGATACAATGCACCATGAGACTTCTCTGAGTTTAATTCATCTTTCATGGCCAGATTTCAGGCAAGCAGCCTGGGAGAGACAAAGATAGATTTGGCTTTTCACTGGTCTGTAAATGGTTGTCCTGGCCCTGGCCCTGGCCAGAGTGATGAAAAACATGCCACCAGCTCTCACACTGCCCTGCTCGCCCCCAACTCTGGCACAGTGAGTTCTGCAGCCCCCAGGCAATACCCTGCCCACCAGGCTCAGCTGTGCCTCAGGGTGCCCCAGCATGGGTAGACTCAGCATTGTCAGGGCTGACGGGTGGCTCTAAGGAGGGATGGAGAGCTAAAGGCACAGCTTTGGGAACTGATTTTGACTGGAGGGGGTATTTACAGTTCTCTTGGCCCCGTCTCTTTGTGAAAGAAAATAGAAAGGTATAAATTTAGTTTTCAAAGGCGGCATCTTTCACAATATGGCTGACTGCCAGCCTGGCTATCACCACTCTCAATGCTGACCAGTCCTCTTTTCTGAAGGCTGGAGTAGCAGTGTCCAGCTGTATCACTGCGTGCCGCAGCTGGTGGTGGAAGTGAAGCATCCTTTTGCAACCACCGCTTCCCTCCCTCTACCTCAGCTCTCTCCTTTTGTATTCCGTAACTCAGCTACAGAGGAGGATTTTGCTGGTTGGCAATTGGGCATAGCCCAAAGGGAGGAGGGTGTTCATGCTAGAGAGAGCACTGAGAATTCAGGAGGGACTTTTATAACCTAGTGAACCACACCAGACCTAGGAAAGATCTAAAGATTATGTAGTTCTTTTCAATGTTTTCTTAGCTCACCCTTGCTTTTTTTTTTTTTTTTTTTTTTTTTTTTTTTTTTTTTTTTTTCAATGCCAAACCTGCTTATGGTTTATGCTGGTTGAAAATACAGTTCAAGTTTTGCCCCTGTATCAGGGTGGCAGTGAAGCGTGCGTGAGGGTTTGCTCAAGTGGCAAAGCATATCTGATTTGAGAGAAAGCAAACAGCTGAGGCCATTTGAACAAGTCATGCTCCTGTACACTTTTAATCAGTTGTGTCTGCCAAAAGAGTTCTTGCACAAGCAAATCTGGCTTCATGTAACAGGAACATTTTTGCGTGTATGCAAGCTGGCTTCGACTTCTTGATAATGTGGTCTCTGGAAGCAGTGTTAATGTGCTTGTTATATCCCTGGCTGCTGGAATTACCTTAATATCAAGGTATTCATGGTTGGCGGTATGGTATGTAGCTCTACGTTTTATTGACTTTGTCTGCACTAAACTTCCTTACCAGCATGCGCTCTGATGGGGAGTCTCCTTTGGCTGTTCCAAAGGGTTGGTGAGGAAAGGAGGCAATTCATAGGACATTAGAGCGCTAGACAAGTCTGAGACGATTTAATTTTCTTCCTCTTTAAGTATCTGTTTCCTTCAGTTCCCTTTTATTTGCAGTTACAGTTTGAGTAGGGTTTTTTTGCAGTAATAAAAAATACTATATCAGTGTAAAATCAGTTAGCTAATGGACAGTAGATGTTATTTTCATTTAAAAATGTATACTGCCATTACTATTCAGGCTTGTTTGCTTATATTAACTTACTGTGGTAGAGGTGTTTTCTGTTTTAGGGGAAAAGATCAGAAAGCAAATAAACCAAAAGGTTTTAGCTGAGGTTCTGGGGTTGGTTGTCAGGGGGCAGAGTACCTGAGGTGCTTATATAAGGCATAAGATGAGAAATAGTAATGCAGGTGTTATAACATGGGTTTTATACATATGGACACCCACGAATCATTTATTGTGGTATACTGTCTTGCTACTTCACTCAGGAAGCAGCAGGGAAGGGGAGGGCAGGGGAGAACCCTCCTCTGAAGCCCAGCTTTGTTCCACCGTTGGTTTCATCAGAGTTTCTTCCCCCAGATGACTTCTGCTGGATGCTGCCAGTGATAAGGGAGGGAAGCAGAGGCAGTGCTGCTCCAAGGCAGTGTGACAGATCCTCTCTTCCTGCATTAGTATTTTTGCAGGGAAAGGAAACCAGGATGAGTTTCCCCAGAGAGGAAAAGAGCACCAGAGGAATTCAGGATCACACAGGAAAAAATGATGTAAGAGAAAAAAAAAAAAAAGGAAGCAAATCAACACAAAAAATACCCTGCCACCAAAAAAAGCACCAGAAATTGGCTGGGATCCATTTCAGGAAATCACTGTAAAGCTGAGCAACTTTGTCACATACAGAAATACAAATCAAGGGAGGACAGAGAAGATGACAGGGTGCTCTCATACAGCCTCTTTCTTTTATGGCAGACTCCAAAACTAACAGCACTGCCATGATGACCTCACATGTGGAGATCAACTTTACACGTGGGGACAGTAGAGAGACACAGTGAGAAACGGCTTTGGTTGTGAGTTGAAACACAGTCTGGAGTGTGCCAGACGTTGCCTAGGGCTTCAGCAAAGCTTTACTTCTCAGGTTAAGCATGAAATGGCAAGTTTTGATGCTATCCCTCTGTTGGCATAGCCCAGGGAAGACATTGTAACCTGCGACTACCTTCGTGCCTCTCGTCTTGAGGGGGAAACTCTTCTGCTACGGCATTTCAGTACGTTGGGGATGTTAGGTGTCTTCCACCAGGTCTGGAAATGTGGCAGGCTGCAGCCTCAGGTTTTTCTCTGTTCAGGGAACAATCTATTTCAGGGCAGAGCAGAGACAGGGGCGAAAACTCTTACCAGTTCCTTGTGTGGGTTGAAAATGTGGACCCAGCTGGTGCTGCAGATGCATACGGTGCGGTGTGTGCTTACCAAGTCTGGCATATGAAGGAAGTATCAGAGTCAAAATGCATGTGGGGCAGAACTGCTCTGCACAGTATGCCCAGTGCATCCTAAACATGCCAGATTTATTACATGTATGTTGCCCACTTGTACAGAAGCCAGTGTTTCTTGGGCATGGTACAGCCATGGTGAGTGTGGGGGGCCGAGCATTCACATGGCCCTTGCCTTGGGCCACCCCTGACCCTGTCCAGGTAAGTCTGATGTTCACTGAGCCCACAAGCCCTGTCCCTGCCCCGCCACCTCAAACCCACCAGCTGGAGCACTGAGGAGGGAAGGTGGAGCCTTGGCCGTCTCCATCCTTGTGGCCTCCAAAGGAGGAGGAGCTGGCAGCCCTGGGGAGCTGCTCCCAGGAGCAGGCGTCCAGGTAGGCTGAGAAGGGGGATGGGATGGGGATGTGTCACTGGCACTGGATTGGAAAGGAGAGCTATCTCCTGGCCTAGCAATTTGTAGCAGGGAAATTTGTTCTGACAACATAATATTTGTGCCTGGAAGTAATGGCTAAGGGAAAGTGTGCTTGAGAGGAAGAGATGTACTTATTTGGGGACAGATTTTTGCACATATTTTATATCCATAATCCAGGGTGATCCATATATCCAGGGTGAGGCTTGGTGTGGGAAATGGAGCCTCTTCACTAAGTGGTGTGCATTTTCCTAAAAGGTTTCCCATTAGAGGTTGCACGTATTTACCGCGCACTGACCGGAGCACTTGATTTTGAGTTTGCCTAAAGAGCAGTT